CATAATACAAGAATAAATACTAATACAAGAATAAATTTTATGTTTATTGGCAAAAAATACATTTTTTTGTTTAGGAATTGTTTAGGGAAGTGGAATGAAAGTTCTGTCAATTACACAGGACGTAAAGACTCACAATTCATTCGGTGCTAGTATGTAAAAGGACATTAGAGTACCTCTCTTTAACTCCCTTCATTGTAGAGATCAGTAAAATGAGGCCCAGAGACATTCAGTGATTGTATACCTAAGTAAAGCTGGAACTTGAACCCAGGCCTCTGACACCATCTGAGACCATCGCCCTTTCTATAACCCCACACTGCCTTCCATGCAGATTGGAAATACTGATTTTGGCATTGCCCCTGGTGTGCTGGGTGAGCTCAGTCAAGTTCCCTAATTTGTTTCTTAAGCCCTTCAAAGCACTTCCACAGAAGTTTGATTCAGCAATTCACTTGATTTGGTGAATTTGACCCTGCTGTGACCAAGAGATGAGAAATACTCCATCCACCAACTTGTTAGTTTTCTAGGGCAGCAATTTTCAACACTGACGTCCCACAAGAATTGTTAAAACCTTCAGTACCTGACTATTCAGTCATGGGCACTGACCTCTTTTCCTTTAGATTGTCAAATTTTAAAAAATGACAGCAGCCAACACAATAACCATTTGATGTGAATGAATCAAAATTCCATCTATTTTTTTTTGTTAAATCTGCAAAAAAATATATTTTTTGGTATACCACAGAATCTTAGTAATTAGTTTATGTGTGCCGGGAGATGAAAAAGGTTGAAAATCGCTGCCCTAGAGAATCTAGGGCTCCACTCATATATTTTTTTAAGCCGTCCTCTGCTGTCTGAAAGTACTGAAACCACAGTATGAAATGTATTGTGTCTACAGCTGCCTTCACCTTTTTTGGTAAAATTAGTTTTGTTCATATTTGTTCTTACTAGATGGATAGTGGCAAAACTGGCAAGAGGTAATGAGACCTTCCACAAAATAGATCTTTACAAGGACCGAATAAATGATGGTGGCTAATCTCATCTACAGTAACTGCGCTGTTCAACCCCAGAAACCCCAAAAAGAAACGCTGTGGGAACAGGCACTCAAGGACACAGAAGCACTGGGGCACAGCCACCTTACCCGTTCCTGTAGGCCTCACACCTCCAGCCCATCATCCTTCTAAGTAGCTGGGGGCTCAGGACCCCTTTTAAGGCTCTCTTCAGGAAAGTGGGTATAACAAAGAAGTATTTCAACAGCCATAGGGATAAGACAAGAGTCATTGTTTCCTTCACCTTGTGGATCTGATGGTTTTTTGGAAGATGGTGGTGAAGAAAATGATTATTAGGTCAATCATTCTTGAAAAGACGATAGTTGCTCTCGCTGTGTTTCTGGGAAGGGACAGTTTTGTGGTGAGCAACTGCAATGGATGACATTGGTCTCTCTGACCCCCTGGATCTTTGTGAAATAAGTAAACCCTTGAATATTTTCTTTGATTGAAAATATTTATCTTTGTTGCTGAAAGTATTACACACATTCTCCTTTTCTCCCCCATTGACTCCTCCTGCCTCCCCCTGGGCCCTCCCCAGGACTTTTAACCAATGAAATACAGGGTGGGCAAAAGTATGCTTACCGATTTGAGTATGTGAGACATAGAGTTTATTCTTGTATTACTATTTATTCTTGTATTGTATGTTTCCATATGAATAACTGTAAGCCTACTTTCCCCCCTCCCCTTTATTTCAAATAACCACAAAAGCACAGACATGATATAATCAACAACCATTATGTTTAACGTATCTCAACATTTTGCTGTACGCATTTCTTTCGGATGGTTATGAAACGGTATTTTATATTTCTTTCATCACTAGTGCTATCTAGAAGCTTTAAACATTTCCCGAGGCCCTATAAATCCATTTTTACATTAAAATATTGGATAAGCAATTCATTCATATATTCAGAAATTAAAGCAATATATTTAAAAGTATATGTTGAAAGGTGTTATTTCCATCCTATCTCATTCACCCCACCTTGCTTTTATTTTATTGTGTTTTTTTTTTTTGCATATCTTCCCAGTGTTTTTTTACAAATAGATGCAAACATGAGTGAATAATTGCATTCCCCACTTATCCAAAACAACATGCTGTATAAATTGTTCTGAACCTTGTTTTTTTCTACTTAATAATATGTCCTGGAGATCTTTCCATATCACTGTGCACATTTCCATACCCGCACAGTATTTCACTTTCAGATGTAGCACAGATTATTTAACTGGCCTTCTACTGGTGGGTATACTTGGGCTATTTTCACTCTATTGTTATTAAGAACAATGCTGTATTGACTACCATTGATCTTGTTCTGATTTGTCCATGGCATAAATTCCTAAAAGTGAGCCGGAGGATTCATAGTTTTATAACTTTGATAGATATTTAGATCTGTGTCACCAAATAGACTCCATGAAGAATGGAACCATATGTATCTCCCCGCCCCCCCCAACAGTGTGTGAGAGTGCCGTCTCCCCTTAGCCTTGACAACAAATTATGTTCTCAAATTTTTGTTTTGTTTTGCTAATCTGATGGGGGAAATGGTATAGAATTACATCTCTTTTGTATTTCTTTTATTATGAGTGAAGCCGTGCATCTGTTAATACATATAGGGGGCCTTTGTATTTCCTTTTTCACAATTACATTCTTCTATTGGATTGTCTTGTTGACTTCTAAAAGCTATTTATATATTTAGAGATTTAATACCTTTGTCTCAGACATAGTTGCAAATATTTCACCCATTTCTTCTTTTGTTTTTGCTTATGAACATTTGTGCCATGCAGAATTTCTTTTGTCATTTCTATGTAGTTACTTTTCTAGTCTTTTTTTTTAGAGGGACGTGGATTTTGAGTCAAAGTTAGAAAACTTTCCCTCTACAGTTATCAAAAAGTTTTTTGTACTTTTATGGTTTTATACTAAACACTGAAATATTTGATTCATTTAGCTTTTATTCTGATGTTGTTTTCCATATGGTTGCTAAGTTGTCCAATATCACTTCTTTAAAAACAAAATACATCATTAAACCAATGTTTTGTTTTACTGTCTTTATAATATATATAATACCTTCCAAAAGTATTTGGCTCTGTTTTGACTTAATTTATTTATTCTTAGAGTTTTTACATTTTTTGGTTATTTTATTTTATTTCTATGAGAACCAAGAATATGGCTCTTTTTCAAATTCTCTAGATTTTAAAATTTTCCTGTTCCCTTACATATAGTTAAGCTCATCCTTTTTTCCCCTTTAAATTACTAAGCATAGTCTAGATGTTATGATTCTACTATCTGATTCTTTGTGGATCTGTTTCTGTTTGGCTTGTATCTTCAGGTTCTAACTTACGGAGTTGGTTTTTTTTTTTTGTTGTTGTTATTTTAAACATGTCTCATGTTTGGCTATGTTTTTGTTTTGTTTTTTTGCAATGTTGAAAATTTTGAAACTTTGGGTGCAAGTACCTTCCTCCAAAAAGAGACAAGTTGGTTTTGTTATGTTTTGTTTTGGAGAGCAAAGCTATCCTATGACCACCAAATTTAATGCTTAAAGTTATCTGAAAAACATAGACAATTTCAATATAGTATTTATCTCTGAACTAGGGCTACCCTCATCTTGAATGTACAGTTCTATGAGGATTGAGGATCAGCTTATTTGGGAGGATCTTTTTTTTTTTCTTTTTCATCTCAAGTTTCCCCATTTTTAGCCTTTGATTTCTATCTTTCCTGCCCTCACAAGAATGGTAGCTCAAAATTGCCAAGAGGAGCATGTTTTCATGTCAAAAATTTTTTTCCATCCTCATTTATTTCTTTGGGTCCTGTTTTTTCTTTAATTTTGGCCCAGTAGTTCCTTTCCATCACAATACCTCTGAAGTGCCTTTAAAAAGATGTTTATTCATATTTTGAGAGCTTGTTTGGAGGTTCTAGCAGGGGAGCGCAGCTACTCGTATACCCTTGACCGAAGACCGGTCCTCTCCTCTTGGGGGAAAGTCGTCCTCTTCGACCGTATTCATATTTTGTTCAGATATTTAAGTTATTTAGCAGGAAATATACATTTAAAATGTATATTGTTGTCAGTTTACTAACTAGCTGCTTGGTTCATACAAATGTGAATAGAACAAAAATGTTTGCTAAAAAAATAAAGTGTAAATGATTATGCTTTCTGGTTGCTGATTAAAGCTTTAGCAGTACAGATCAACAGAACTTTCATAGTATCTAAGCATTTTCTTTTCTATCTATTTCCCATGACATTACAGAGGGCAGGTAGAGTATAGTGTGTAGGTTTGTGTCTTCTTGGAAATGGGGCCCCCATGTCTATACCTAGAATTAAGGCAATTGTGCATCTTAAATGAAGTCTGAGATAAATTACTATGTTGAATGAAGGTGTTCTTTAACATTAAAAGAATTTTAAATGATAAGCATAGCTTTTGTCTTTCTGTTTTTGTAGTGTGTGTATGTGTGTTTCATTTTTGTTTTAGTTTAATTGCCGTTATCTAGGAATGTGGCTTCTCTTAAATAGTCTGTTTTCTGTTAATGAAGTTATTGAATTTCCTTCCTGATTCCCTTTGATTTTGGACTTAGATCCTCACATGCTGAGCAGCTCTCCCCAGATATACTTGGTACAGTTACTGTAAGAGTCAGAAATCCAGCTCATGTTTGAAATGGAGATGAGGCAAATGGTTATAATTCTAGAACTCAGTTGACTTCATGGTTGGGCTGTAGGATTTAAAACTGTCACAAAGAAGAAAAAGTTTTGTAACAACTACCACAACAACTCATATGAAGCAAGATTTGATTCTTTATAATTGCACCAAACATAATTGAAGTTTACTAATCATATCTGACCTCTGGGGAAAAGAATGAAATGTGTAATGCTTGTGCAATCTTCCCTAACTTCACCTTTGGGGTGGGAGGGGAGGGAAAAGCCCAGTAATATCATTCTAGAACAAATCTCAAAGTGTGTTTACTTTGTTAATTTCCAGGTGAAAGAATGTTTGTATCTCTGTATGGAGCTGCCGTAGACATGAATATAAGGCTGGACAAGAATTCTTTGATCATTGAGAAAACCTACATATCTCTGGCCAATCAGAGAACTATAACTATTTACAACCGCAGTAACATCATTGCCCATTTCCAGTGGAAGGTATTTCCTACCCAGGAAGAGGAAGATAAAGAAAAGTATAGGTTTGTAAGAAAAATCACCTAGGTGCTGTAATTTGGGAAAACACAAAGCTCAGTTAATTATGAAAAATCAGTGACTTTCGTGGTAACGTTTTAACCAACTCAGCAATGTCAAATTTTTATAGCCTAGTTCCAGTGTACAATGCTCATTTTTTCATTAAAAGAACTTGAATTGAACTATGTCGAACACAATGTTGTCCATTATCAGTCAATCTTAACCTTGTTATAATTTATCAGTAGCCAAACTACTGGATTTTGAAGACCAAATATAAAAATCTTCACTGTTTCCTCAAAACTAACATATACATCTGTATTTCATTTCATAGACCTAATCAGATTGATCAAGTGTCATAGGGTTTCTGAAAAGAATCTCTCTTGGTTTGGGATCAATGTGTATTTTTTTATTTTATTTTATTTTTTTAGTGAAAAGGTATTTCTAGAAAATAGAAAGAATGAGGAAAAAGAAGGGCTTAGATATAACAGCTTTTATATTCCCAGTTTTAGTAGCATTGCTGAATCCCTGCTAACCATATACTAGTAATTTAATGATTTTTTTGTTGTTATCTTTAATTTCTGCTTTTTAAAGTGATACTTTAGGCAGTACAGAAAGTTAATAAAATAGAAAACTCAACTATTTTAACTAATCTCTTCAATATTAAATTTTGAATATTTCTTTTTTCTGTATCTACCCCTGCACCTTTAAACTCCTTTCATCCTCCCCAAATTAGCACCTTTGCTGCTTTCATTTGGATTTATTCAGCCTTTTTTTATTTGCCTCTCCAATTTCATTAAAGATTAGTCCTGGGAAGCTTCAAAGCTTTGTTTAAAACCAAGTTAGTATGTGATAAAAATAAAAGTCTTAGGTCCATGGAAACCAGGCAGCAATCCCCCACTGTGCTGCCCCTAATTGAATCAGAAGGAGCTAGGACAATGACAAGACACAGAGGAACCAGAAGCCTCATTATTCAGGCAGGGAGCTTTAATCACTGGATTGCCACTGTGTCATCTTTAAAAAAGTGAGAAAAGAAAAGCCTTTCCTGCCTAAAAACTTTCATTGGCCTCATGCTATAGAAGCACCAGGAGTTGGGAAAGGTAAGAGAAAACTGGTCATCCACTGCTTCCTTGGTCCTGATTCCCCTAGCTGATGTGTACCATCAACCAGATGGTCTAACCAGGTTTAAAGATGAGATGCGAGAGCAGGTACAAGCAAAGGAGTAGTAGTCAATGCAGTGTTTACATAACCTGCTTGTCCTGTAGGTATAATAATCTCTTGAGGAAAATGAATATACACTATCAGAGAGGAAGCCAGCTTTCAATTCAACTACGCCTATGTATTTGACTATATGTATAGGATATATTTTCTGTCCAAAAAAAAAAAAAATATTTAAGGATGTTAATGTCAACAGAAAACTCAAGAAGAATTCAAACCAATTGCTCTCAGAGATGCTAAGATATAGAGTAGATAATTTCAATCACATGTGGATGGATATTTCTCTCCCCGCCCCTTCCCCATTCCACCTTCCCAGACACTCACACCCTTATCTCTTTAATGTTATCCTCATTGAGTCTTATTCCTTTTCTCTTATGTTATCTTTCTTTCACCACCTCTTTTGCTCTTTCATTAGTTCATCTAGCAATTTTTTTTTTTTTTGTAGCAAGGGCTTAATACAGCATTTTCATAACCATGATTAGAAACCTAGTTTTATTATCTAGGATCATGCCCTTTCCTTAAACAATGAACTTGAAAAGTGGCACCATATGGCTAAATAAGAATACTTCCATTTTCACTGGACATAGCAACATAACTCATGTTTTTTCAAACTGGTTGGTTGATTTATGTGACGAGTTTATTGGAAATTCCGTTCCTTACCTTTCTCCCCCCTCTCCTAGGGCCAGATGCCTGGGACGTGAAGGGAAATTGATTTAAAGGGGAAATAGGCCATTTATGCCTAATATCTTATTTGACTAGATTAATCGCTTCTCTCACATCCCTCTCTTGTTCCTTAATGCATCCTCAAACATGCCACAACTTATATTATTAGTCATGGATTCTTATCCTGGACATAACTAGCTATGAGATGCCCATCCTCTTGAAAAAAAAAAAAAAAGTCGATTACAGAGAGGTTTATTGTTTACTGAACATTTAGTTCCCATCTCTGGATAGTTCCCATCTCTGTAGGCGGCAGTGCTCTTGCTGTGAGTATGGACCCTCTTCTCCTCTAAGTCACAAATCCGCAAGTTGTATCTCAAGCCACACAGCAGTGTCAGGCAAAGCAGAATGTTCTCTGGTAGCTTGCTTGTGGTCAGTGGTTTGCTCATCCCCGAGAAGTAGCAGTCAGATCTTTAGCTAATGGTATAAATCTTCTCTTGAGCTCCCCAACAAGGCCAGAGTAGGTAAATCCCAGAATAGTCCTCCTCATGTTTGACTCTCCTGCTTCTGGTGATAAGCAATCTACCCCCTTTTTCCCCCTTCTGCAGCCTTTGTAGTTAAAAATGTAGAGAGGAAGGTTGACTTTGGTCCTGAACTTGGGACAGAGAGGACCTATTCTAAATGGTCTCATGCATACTTTGAGAGACTAAAGTTTCCCTTCGCAGCATCCCAAGGACCTACGATTTAAAACATCAGTGTAGATTTTTAAGTGAGACTTGGGAGTCTACCCACTGCTTTCCAACTATAACATGGCTTACACCTTGTCCTAAGGCATTCATCTTAAAGGATCTGGAAGTTGCTCAGGGGTCACATTGAGATTGCTAATTGCTTTAACCGGTACCCTCAAGACCCCACTCCAGCCATTGTGGTTTGTTGGCCACTACATCTTGTTGATCTCCCAGTGGAGGAATTTCAGCCCTCCTCAAGGAAGGAAGTTCCGTTCTGGGAATTATCATTTTCTGGAAGTTATCATTTTCATTCTAGGAATGATGACTTCCTCTCCACACACCTCAGCATGTTGGTACCAACCTTATGACACATGTCCAGATTTGGGACTGTGAGCTAACCCCAGGCTCCAGATTCTAACAACGAAGATGTCACTCCCCCTAGGAAGAAATTCTGGACTTTAAGTCCCCCCCCCCCCCCCCACTTTTATTTAAACCTTCAGAAGGAGACACAGAGGGCTTAAAAATTGCCTTTTTGGGTCTTTGCCTTTTTGATGTTTTTCTGGGACTTGTAGAGAAATTAATCTCTTCAGAAATGGAGGCAGCATTCATCCCACCTTCCTTCCTTCCCTTTATCCTGGAGGCATTATAAAACATTACCATAAGATTCTTTCATACTCATTCTCATCGGACTTGGCGTGGGCTTTTGAGGATTTCGGTTCCCCACTTCTTCATGAAGGTCGTGACCATTGCCTCAAGAGCAGCTGACTCAGATTCTAGATTTACTCCGTGCAGGAGCTCCCGCAGTCTTCCGTGGACTCCCACAAGTAGTCAGCATGGACTTATTCCACAACATTCAGAAATAGCGAAATACATGTTTCTCTAGGTAGAACAGTTTTAACTGGGCTTTGGGCCTGCCACCCAGGGAGTAATAAGTTTAATCTTGAGTGGTATTTGATAAACAGGGAGAGGACCTCTCGTCCTCAGCTTATAACAGTCATCACAGAGTGCTCAGTGTGACCAGGGTCACGTGGTCCATTTGAAGGTAGATGGCTGTAACCCAGGGGTGGACATGGGAGTATTTCTCCCAGCTGTGAAAGCCATGGCGTTTAGTTCCCATCTCTTCAGGGTGCTGCATCCAGTTATCATCTCTTCGGGGTGCTGCAAAGGAGCAGGGTATCTAGCTCCAGAAGATGAGGAAGTATTACTGGTTCAATTATACCCAAGACACAGGTCTTCCCCGTTGACTCTAATCCATGGCTGAACTCTGCTTGAGGCCTGAAGGTGGTGGGTGTTGGTGGCTGCCAGACCATTTGGAAAATGAGGTAAATCCTTGATTTTAACTGAGAGAAAAGGCTGGTGTGTTGGTAAGCTCTCTGATAAGAGGTGTCCTCATCTGAACCACCTGAAGCAGGAGACCATGGAGATCAGCAGGAAAAATGGCTCCCCAAGTAGCCTGGGGTATCTGGAAGCCCTTGTTGGAGTCAACTCAGCTCAAGGTGTTGTTGCCTTTTAGTATCTCAGCCGTAGCTCCATTTCCGCATGAGAGGGCAGAGATTAGACATCTGGGACAAGCCTCCACCCACCCCCTTTGCATTATGCAGCTGTTGATGATTTCAGAGTCCCAGCAGCAGGGGAGCAGAGCCGTGCTTGGCAATTTATGTTCTGTTTCCTTTTCTTTCTAGTTCAAGGGTTGAGCTAATCATACTCTTCAGTTCATGGAGCATTATCATCCGTCCTTAGTCCATACGAGGCATTTTATCCCCACACACCACTCCCATTAGACCCCTAAATAAATGTAATTTTTTATGATTCCCATTATTTGTTTAACCAACCCTTCAATCTCTTACATAAATGTTACCCACATTTTTCGGTATTGTTGCCAGCGTTTTGATGAGCATCTTTGTAGCTGTGTTTTTACTTACATCTGTGATATTCCTTTAGGACTGATTTCTAGAGGCAGGCGTTATAGCTTCCCCTCACAGGAATTGGCGGCTTCCTTTCTGCGGACTGAGCGCTCTCTCATTTGCGCGGCTCTGCGCAGCAGTATAGAAGGACTGCTCGTTACCTGGGACACTGCTTCCCGGACACAATAAAAAGGAAGCACAGAATGGAACCAGAACACACTGGAGCCATTTGTTTGACATCTTTATGCTACGTGGCTAGAGGAACCTAGACACGAAAATTATTTTTTAAAAAAGAAAAAGAAAAGAAAAAAGCTATTTGACATGGCTAAGTATGCAGTTTGCATGAAGTCATTTAGAAAATAGTTGGGCCTGGGGCGGGAATTCAGTGACCCTAGGCTCTCATTAAATAATTTGTCTCTCATCAATGATGATACCAGTACAATGTGGAGAAAATAGTCATATACCCTGGGAGGAGATAAAATTAAGTCTCCAAAAATTCAGGTGAGCCCTGGCCATTTTGGCTCAGTGGATAGAGTATCGGCCTGTGGACTGAATAGTCCCAGGTTCAATTTTGGCACATGCCTAGGTGGCAGGCTCCATCCCCAGAGGGGGACGTGCAGGAGGCAGCTGATCAATGATTCTCTCTCATCATCGATGTTTCTTTCTCTCTCTCTCTCTCTCTCTCTCTCTCTCTCTCTCTCTCTCTCTCTCTCTCTCTTTTTCTCTCTTTTTCAGGTGAAGTAATGGCTATCAGGAGTAATGCGATCATGTCTGTGGTGAGGACAGAATAGAGGGCTGCTTTCCTGACTTTTACAAGGGCCATGAAGAGCTAGAAGGGGGAGGGTTTGGAGAGGGCAATGGAGAGGAAAAGGGGGACTATATAATACTTTCAACAATAAAGAATTATTTTAAAAAAGAGCTAGAAAGAGGGAGAAAAGGTTTCTTTAGATGTAGTTTAAGCATCTCATACACTTGACAACTTGGTAATTGCCTGTGTTTGAGAGAGAAAACTGATATTTATTGAGTATCTACTTTGTCCCTGGAACTACACCAGGTCCTTGATCACATTTAATCCTCAGCACATCCTTAGGACGAGGGAGCTCCTGTTTTATAGGTAAAGGTACTAAGGCATAGAGGAATTTAGTGGCTCCCAAAGCCACAGAGCTTGTAAATAGACAGTAGAATCAGCATCCAAACCCAGTGCTCACTGGCTCTCAGTTTTGTTCTCCAGCTAAGAAAAAATGAAAGCTAAGCAAGTTTAACAGAAACAAAATTGTCCTTGAAGTGTGAGAGGTGGAGTAGATGTTAAGTGTTTAAACAGCAACTTAGGAAAACACTATTACCAGAAATAAAATATGCATAAGGGCTCAGGAGAAAGCAAATGGAGAACAGGAAGCCCAGGAGGACTTCTTGAAGGAAGTGACTGAAGGGGAAACTGAGGCTCTTGAGAAGTTAAAGTATAAGATCACTCAGGTAGCACGTTACACACTCAGGGCAAGGAGGGACCGCCCCAGCGTGATGGGTGAGATCATTCCCAGGAGGATGGACCGGAGGGGAGCGCCCTATACAATGGTCTTCATGGGAGTACCAGAACAAATCTCATATTTTCTGTTTTCTTCAGGGTCTGCGAGGATCTGATCAAAGAGGAAAAGGATGAGACTGATGAGTTTCTGGAAGAGTTTGTTAGTGACCCTTTACTCCGAGAACGGATCTCCATTCTCTCCCGCACCTTTGCGAATCAGAGAAGGCTGGTTCAGGCGGACAGCATACTTTTCTTGAATAACATTTTCACTATTGAGCCTCTGGTGAGCACATATATGCAGTCTGAACATATAGGGGAATGTGGGTCTTCTTTTGGTAAAAAACACTCACTCTGAGTTGTTCTGAGAGCATAAAGACTCCATCTGAAGAGTCTCATCATCATTATGAGACAGTAAGTGAAGGTTAATGGTAAGAATGCTCATAGGATATGTTTATAAGTCACACTTTCTATGCACCAATCACTATTAAACACTTTAAAAAATATTTTTATTGATTTCAGCAAGGAAGGGAGAGGGAGAGATAAAAATATCAATGATGAGAGAGAATCGTTGATCAGCTGCCTCCTGCATGCCCCTTATTGGGGATCAAGCCTCAACCTGGGCATATGCCCTTGACCAGAATTGAACCTGGGATCCTTCAGTCTGCAGGTTGACACTCTAACCACTGAGTAACCAGCTTGGGCACTAGTAAGTACTTTGTATGCACTATCTAATTTATTTCATATATGCAATTATAGTTAATTCCCCATTTTACAGATGGATAAATTGAGACTTAGAGAAATGCGATAACTTACTCAAGGCCAAGCAGTTAGTATCAGTGGTTAGAAATTGATCTCTGATTTGCCTGACTGTAGTGTAGGGTTTCTCAACCTCTGCATTATTGACATTTGGGGCTGGATAATCTTTGTCTTGTGCATTGTAGGATGTTTCATAGCAACCCTGATCTTGACCCACCAGCTGCTAGTTGTGACAACCAAAACTATCTCTGGACATTGCCACATGTCCCCCTGGTGGGCAAAATTGCTTGGTTGAAAACCACTCTGTAAATATTACTGACTGCATGTACTATACCAGGCACCCCGTGTGTGTACCAGACATTGATGAAGCCTTCTTTGGGGCTGTTGTTTTGTGAGACCTGCTGCTGGAGTCCCTAAGGCAGGCAGGCGGCACACTGGTTCAGAGGCGAGGCTGATTGTCAGACTGAGAAGCTGGAGAAGGCTTCTTGAGAGCAGAGCCTTGAATTGGGTCCATCTTGCAGGATGGGGACCTTTGGGAAACAAAATTGGGGCTGTGCATGGCATGGCTCATTCAGGGATCTGGGCATGGGTCAGGCTGTTTGACGTAAAGGGCTCACATAGGAAAATAGGCTGGAGACATGGGGTGGAGCTGAATCTTCTTTCACATGAGAAGACTGTCCGCTGCTCAATTGAGCAAAGGGATAGTCAGACATGATGGATTAAACCAGCAAGAGGTTAAATCAGGCTGCACATACAGTCTTGGAGGGATAGAGCAGACACCTATTAAAGTAGGTCAAGCCCAATGATGTTGAAAAGACCAGGAAGGCATCACAAGTCCAAGCAAGCAAATGGCTGAGCGGGATCAGGCAGCAGGAACAAACAGTATGGCCCAGGGTGTGGACAGTCCTGGGGTCTTCCCAGCTGGCGCTGGAGACCAGGCTGGTGAGTACTGTCCTGGTGCTCATATCCTTCTGGGAGTGGGACTCCGGGACAGCAGACATTGGTGGCCAGTGAGGTGTGGGAGGCACACAGGTGAGTCTTGTATGTTTCCAATCCAGAAGTAGAAAGACTAGGATTACCTTGGTTTTTCCTCTCCTCGTGCTTACTTCCATTACCCAAACCGTCATGATAGAGACATATGTATATTAAAGTAAGGCACTTAATAACTGTTTTTGAATGCTGGATAGGAACTGAATTGGGTGTTATCACAAGGCATCTTTTCACCGGGACTGAGAAAAACATTCTTTAAACAGCGATACATAGAAATGATATCTTTTAAATGAGACTATTTTGTTTGTATCGTGTGGGGGGAAATCACCAGAAACAGGAAGGGGAGATAAAGCATTGCGGTATGTATAGCATCTATAGTGATTTTGTCTTTATTATGTCTTTACACTTTCTTCTCATGATGGTACTCGTAAGCTGGTTCATGACATTTTTTTGCAAAATGAAATGAAGGCATGAAACTTTGCCAGTGTCTTCATAAAATTATTCTGGTCAAAACAGCAGATGTCAATGTTGGTGAATTATTTATTGATTTTAAATCTCCTCCCGCCCCCTTCTTAAAGATCTTGACAGATTTATAGAGATACAGTTCTTGTGAGTGTACTATAATCTTACCGTGTAAATTACTTTTGAAGGTATTTGATGGGAAAATGCTGCCATTTTATTAGCTTTTTGACCCAAATGTGAACTAAGGGTATTTTCCACTGTTGAGATTTGGGTTTTCTGGGACAGTAAATAAATGCTCTAGTAGTTTGGGATGAGAGAGTTAGGAAAGGATTTATAGAGGAGGTGGGATATGAGCTGTATGTTGGAGGAAGGGTAAGATTTAATTAAGTGGAGAGGCATAGGGAGAATGTTTCTAGCTGGAGAAATTGTGAGAACAAAGAAAAAGGAGGCTATTTGCTTCATGGCATATTATATAACAATACAATGACCAGGTTTTCTGGAGCAAGCAGCCATAGAGAACATAAGAAATTAGATTAGGTCTGGCTGGCATGGTTGAGTCTCTACCTATCAACTTGGAGGTCACAGTTTGATTCCTGATCAGGGTATATATCCAGATTATGGGCTTGATCCCCTGTGTGGGGTGTGGAGGAGGCGATCAATGATTCCCTTTCATTATTGATGTTTCTGTGTCTCTCTCCTTTGTCCTGGGTTTAACTTCAAGCTTTGCCAATAGCCAACATGATCTTAAACAAGCCATTCCATCTCTCTTGGCTTTGGTTGCTTTGTGCACAAAATAAGATTTTATTTATTTATTTGTTTGTTTGTTTGTTTATTTATTTATTTATTTTTAGGGTAGGTAGGATACTTGGATCCATTTTGGGTACAGACTCTGAGCTCCTTAAGGTCAGAAGTGGTTTGTCCTCATCTGTGCTCCAGGCCTACCTCAGGGCCAATTAATGGAGGGAGGGATGGAGGGAGTCAGGGAGGGAAATCAGTTGATGAAGATGAGTTTGGCTCTGAATACGTTGAATTTGAGATGACAATAGATGTTCAAAAAGTTTTGGAAATGCAGTCCTAAATTTGTGGGAGAGCAATCAGGAGTGGAGGTAAGATATGTGAGAATCTCACACAGGTCTTTGTGGAGGGCATGAAAAGTGGATGGGAATTCTAAGAACAGTTTGAGAAAAGAACATTGCAGAGGACCCAAGAGAGCCCTCGGGTGCTGACCTTTGGAGACCCAGCACAGCAGGGAGAGGCTGAGAATTCACAGGGAAGGCCTGCTAGGGGGTGGGCAGCCAGCACAGGGCTCCTTAGCCCGCCTCACATCTTTCTACCCAATTAGGGTCGGCCCGTCGTCATTTTCTACTGAAGGTCCCTGAGTCTTGTTCACATATCAGATCAGTTATACCAGAGCCACTATCTAATTTCTGACAGTTGAGCTGTGTATCAGCAATTAGTGTTCTTTTTTTTATTTTATTAGAGTGTGATTCCTTTTAATTAGCTTCTTGATATGAGTTGAGTTCACAGAAGCAGAGAAGATTAAAATCATGCAGTCGCATACTGATCTAGAAATCCATCTCTAATTGATACCCTGTTCAAGAACTAAAAATAAAATAGAAGGTTGGTGTAGGGCAGCGGTGGGGAACTTTTTTCCCCACCAAAGGTCATTTGGATATTTATAACATCATTCAAGGGCCATACAAAATTATCAGCTTAAAAATTAGCTTGCTATATTCGGCCAAACATTTAATCAACTCAACCCCAGTGCTTTGTCAGGGCCAGACCAAATGATTTCTTGGGCCTTATATGGCCCTCGGGCCAGACATTCCCCACCCAAGCTGTAGGGGCTCGGTTACCACCTTCCAGATGGCCTCTTCAGCCTCTGTGTCCACCTAAGATGGAAATTGGCCTCAAATGAGGTAAATTTAAAAAGGAAAAAAAAAAAAAAATCCAAAACAGTTACCTTAGTGTCAGAAAAATAAATGATACGTTTATTTTTTCAGACCTACGTCTATATATCTTGGTTTTTCAAATGAGTCAGCTAAAACCAAGGTTAGTTTAGCCCTTATTGTGTTCTCTGCATATTGTGTATTTTATGGGAACATTGTTCCTATTTTCGAGGTTCTTTCCATTTAAAGCAAGTATTCAAGATCAAGAAATCAGTCACTGTCTCTAAAATGCCCAGAGGTGGTGATGGTTTTGAATTTAATCAAATTTTCTCAATATAATCGTGTGGAGAAGTCGTTTGGCTCAATGCTATAAGAACAACTGGCCCAAACTCTAGCACAGAAAGTTCTTCCACTTTTCTGTGACCTGCTCACCGGGTGGCCCTGGTTAGTCCCATTGTCTTAGCTCACTTTCTTATCATGCTCATTACCTAACGTTGCCATAGGGTCTGTCATCCAAACCTTGAGGAGTTAATGCTGGGGTGTGTTGGGGTACTGCTGTGGTTACAGAGTGCAGAGGTGGGGGAGTGTGTGTTTGAGAGACCCCAGAGATGGACCCTGGTGGAGGAAGGAGCAGACAAGGCCTCAGAGTGACCACAAGGCAGTCCTGGGCAGATATAGAACAGAGGTCTAGAAGTAATTTTTTATTTTATTTTATTTTATTTAGTTTTACTTGGTAATCTGTTGGTGTCCCTCATTAGGGCACCACAATGCCAGGGTTCTTTTCCCAGCCTTACAAAGGGTTCAGCGTTCTGGAGAAAAGGGTTGAGGGTGGATGATTAAAGAAGGAGTCCAAAGACAAAAGATAGTTTTGAAAGGCATTGGGGTCAGAGGAGCTTCAGCTGAAGGAGCTAGAAGACTCTCCTTGTCTTAGGAGCCCCTGCTTTTATTAAACACAGTTTGTCCCAAGGCAAGGTGGAAATATACACTTCAAAGGGTAAGGTATCAAAGGATATACAGAAACACTGTGAATTTGGGGAATAGCCTACAGCTGCTCAGGTGTTTGGCCAACAGGAGGCAATAAAATGCCTTGAGTTGTCTGCCAGTTAACAATCCTATTCAGGTATGGGGGAAGTGCCTTTTAGCCATTTCCAACAGGTAAATTACATATGTGGCTTATCCTTGTTGA